TTGGCCTTCAACCTCACCAATTTGAAGAGTAGAGGCTACCCAGATGAGGAATTGGGTGGGTAAGAGAAGAGTAGAACTATCCAAGAGCAAGGGAACTCAAAATTGGACATTTGAAAACTGGAAACTGCGTTGCAGTTTTCGATTGCAAGTGACGATAAAACAGACAGGGACATCTGAACTCTTCGGAGGGTGATGACTCAGTCTAATGGGAATCTCTCTATAGGCAAGAGAAGAGAGAACTACCCAGGAGCAAGGGAATTCAAAATTGGTCTTTTGGAAACTGGAAACTGCATTGCAGATTTCATTTAATTACAATTTGATTTTTGTTCTTTGCTTGGCCTTCAACCTCACCAATTTGAAGAGTAGAGGCTACCCAGATGAGGAATTGGGTGGGTAAGAGAAGAGTAGAACTATCCAAGAGCAAGGGAACTCAAAATTGGACATTTGAAAACTGGAAACTGCGTTGCAGTTTTCGATTGCAAGTGACGATAAAACAGACAGGGACATCTGAACTCTTCGGAGGGTGATGACTCAGTCTAATGGGAATCTCTCTGATGCATTTTCAACATTTTTGCACTGCACTGGATTTTTGTGTTCTTGTGTAATTGTTTGTTTATGTTGGTTTTTGTCTTTTAAAATCATATATTTGAGTTGTGCTGGTAGGATTGTTGGTGGTAATTTGTTTTGATTGCAATGCAGAAAACAGAAACTGCATTGCAGTTTCCATTTAATTATATTTGGCTAAATTGTTTTATCATTGGATATTGGTATGATTTTTGAAGTTAATGGAAATTATACAATTGTCATCAATGAATATGTCTTTTTGACTTTGTTTAGTTGCTTGTTTTCATGATGGCTTTGCCTTTTGGTTTGTTTTTTTTGTTAGTGTGGTTGCAACTTGATTAGAAATTGCAACGCAAAAAATGGAAGGAACTTCTGTTACCTTGATATGTTTCCATTGCACATTCCAATGTCTTTTCAATGAGCATGCTTAGTGTTACTAGTAATCCAGCTGGGCAGGCAAGTGACAAAGAACGTAGCTAGAATTCTTTTTTATTAAATCAATTTGATATAGCTCTAATACAAGGATTGCCACTTGCCCTCTGCTTGTTTCAAATATATTTTCTCCTTTTATTTAGGGCATGTACTCATCACTCAAGTTTGGAGGTTGACGCATCTTATTCTATGATCGTTGTTCATTGTACATAATTTGGTCTTATTTTATATAGCACAAACGTCGTTTTATATAGCACATAATTAGGTCAAGCAATGATCTAATTTAGCTGCAACTAAAGCTCACTTACTATGCATTTGTCTTGATTTGGAAATGGTTGATGCCATCACTGTCATATAATATCTTGCAATACCATTTAAGCTTCAGTTCAATGAAATTTTACACAGGTTCTGCATTGTAGTTTTGCACAAACTACATTGCAGTTTCAGAAACTGCATTGCAGTTTTGGTAATTACAATTAGATTTTTGTTCTTTCCTTGGCCTTCAACCTCACCAATGTGAAGAGTAGAGGCTACCCATATGAGGAATTTGGTGGGCAAGAGGAGTAGAACTACCCAAGAGCAAGAGAACTCAAAATTGGACTTTTGGAAACTGCATTGCAGTTTTCATTTAATTACAATTGGATTTTTGCTCTTTCCTTGGCCTTCAACCTCACCAATTTGAAGAGTATAGGCTACCCATTTGAGGAATTGGGTGGGCAAGAGAAGAATGGAACTACCTAAGAGCAAGGGAACTCAAAATTGGACTTTTGGAAACTGGGAACTGCATTGCAGTTCTCATTTAATTACAATTTGATTTTTGTTCTTTCCTCGGCCTTCAACCTCACCAATTTGAAGAGTAGAGGCTACCCATATGAGGAAATGGGTGGGCAAGAGAAAAGTAGAACTACCAAAGAGCAAGGGAACTCAAAATTGGTCTTTTGGAAATTGGAAACTGAATTGCAGTTTTCATTTAGTTACAATTTGATTTTTGTTATTTCCTTAGCCTTCAACCTCACCAATTTGAAGAGTATAGGCAACCCAGATGAGGAATTTGGTGGGCAAGAACTACCCAAGAGCAAAGGAACTCAAAATTGGACTTTTGGAAACTGGAAACTGCATTGCAGTTTTCATTTAATTACAATTATTTTTGTAGATGTTTTTGTTTTTGTTTTTGTTTTTTTTAAATATAATTGATATCTACATTGTATTTTTGTTGCAGTTTCTGTTTTTATTTGTAGTTTTTGTGTGAACAAGTGTTGAAATGATTTTTTTTTTAAAACCGTTGATTGTTTATATAAATACTGTATAACTGAATAAATATTACAAAATCAAGTTTCGTGTAGTGGTTTGTGAGTGAGCCTTCCTCCTTTGAGGGTCAAGGTTCAAGTCCATTCAATGACATAAAATCCTTTTTTTTTAAGGTGAATAAAGGGCAATGGAGTTGGTCCCTTGTAGACGGTGGCAGGCCGGTGACAGGCGGCGGTGGTGGCAGGTGGCCGGCGGCAGAATTCCGGTGGTGTTGGCCGGCGACAGAATTCCGGTGGTGGCCGGCGGCGGGATTCTAGCAGTGGTGGCCGGGGGCGGGATTCCGGCGGTGGTGGCCGACGACAGGTGGGCGGTGGTGGTTAGCTAGATATGGACATGTGGCATAATATGCTTACCTTAGAAGGAGTGGCATTGTATGTAATTTTGATATTTTTGTAAAATTAGGTGCTGCATTTGGTCTTTGGCCTTATGCTAATTAGATGAAATTGTATTCTTATCTTCCAAATTAGTAAACTATATTGTGTTTTAAAACTAAAACTCCCCAAATAATGAATCCGCCACGTTCATGGACTACTTCTCATAACTTGTAATTCAAAGCTATAATTTCGAACTTAGCTCCTTTGTATAAAAGAAAAAGAACTTAGCTCCTTTTTTTACTTCTGCTAAACAAAAAAAGTTTATTATTGAACACCTATTTTTTGTCTTTCAAGAGAACACCTATGAAGACGAGGTTTTAGTAATTTACTAAGCTCATAAATCAATATTTACAACAACAAAGAGCGAAGGCTGATTTGGACCATTTGGTGCAAATGTGACAATAATAAAAGTATAATACCGCAAAGGCCAAAGACGAAATATAAGACTTAGAATACACGGACGAGAATACCCCTAAATGAGGTGAAAGGCTGAGATCTGAACTTCTAAATCCAACGGCCAGAATCTTTGAACCATTCGTTTATATTCACCCTTAATTATAAACCCTAAATCCCCTCTCACCAGCCATCGTTGCGCGTACTCTCTCTCTCGCTAGAGTCTCTTCCGCGGTCGCCGTTTGCTTTTTACGATCTTCTTTATCAATCAAGATGGTAAGCCCAACAGACCTTCCTTTGTTCTGATCTGTAATTCTCTATCGTTTTCATCATTTGCGTTAGCGTAGAAGACAGCTAGCTATATATGTTTAAATACTCTTGGAACAAGAAGGCAATGGAAATATATAGGGCTAGCGAATTGTAACGCTGTTCGTTTTCTTCTGGGTCGGTCCAAAACGTTGTTTAGATGCACTGTTTGCTTCCCCAGAAACTGGAAGATAACGCACTTTTCTGTTAGCCATTCATTCTGTGTTAATGAAATGAATCTCTGAAAATAGAGATAACAGAAATAAGTTAACCATTTCAGAAAATGGGTTTTGTTGTAATCGATGTTGGTTGCTGGTTGTTAACAGGTGCTTCAGAACGATATCGATTTGCTTCATCCACCAGCTGAGCTCGAGAAGAGGAAGCACAAGCTCAAGAGGCTTGTGCAGTCTCCCAACTCTTTCTTCATGGTATAAATACTAATATATTTTTGGACTACCTATTTGTTTAAATTAATTTTCATTTTATAGTGGGATAATGCTAATTTTGATTGTTTTAAACTTGCATAGGACGTCAAGTGCCAGGGGTGCTTTAACATGTAAGTTTTAGCTCCTTGTGTTGTTTTCATTGAACTATTATCACTATATATATATATATATATATATATATATGCTTTGAATTTGAAATATAAGGAAGAATTTTTGTTGTTGTTTGGAGGTGAAACAATTGAAATTTGTTTTTGCAGAACCACTGTGTTCAGTCACTCGCAAACGGTTGTGGTGTGTGGTAACTGCCAGACAGTGTTGTGCCAGCCTACTGGTGGGCGTGCCAGGCTCACCGAGGGTTGCTCTTTCAGGAGGAAGGGGGACTGATGCTCTGCCCAGAACACTTTTGACTCTTATTAGTTTATCTACAAGAGAGCCTTTGAAGGTTGATTTCATGGAAGAAAAGAAATGGGTGCTGTTGTTATTGTCAAGTTATCTAGGTTTGGTTTTAAATGTTTAATTTTGTTAGGATCGTTCTGAACTTAGTATGACAGTGCTGCGTTTTGATTCTGCTTTAATTGAGTTTGCTGTTTGACATTATCAGATATCATTTACATCTTCAAATTAGATATTATTCTTGAAGTGTTTTCCTGCCCTTTCGCTTTGTTATCTATAACATGCTTGTTTACTGTCATAGGTTTTGACTTTCAGTGCTTGTGAAAATTTCATCTTCCCTGCCTGATATAATGTTCAGTTACCTCTTATGTGTCTGAAAGGATTTGAATGATCTATTTCATTCAAATTGGGTACATTTGTGCTCTTAATTTTGCTAGGCCTGTATGGTGTTTAGAATGCATATCTCTTTCAACCATTTGTGTGGAGCACGGTTGTAGGGCTGTTTCATGGTCACCAGGATTGTTTTGTTTGACTCTGTTTTCGTGGTAGTTTTATTTAGTGGTCAATGCTCGTATAGCAAATTGCACAAATTGTGCGGCGTTTAGAATGTGTATCTTTTTCAACCATTTGTATGGAGCATGGTTGTAGGGCTGTATTATGGTTATCAGGATTGTTTTGTCTGACTCTGTTTTAGTGGTATGTTTAATTAGTGGTTAAGGCTCGTGTAACAAATTGCAAGGTTATGAGTTCGTTTAATCTGAAGTTCCCAGTTAACAGGTTCAAAGGAGTGACTTTTTCTTTGCTGTTATAATGGATGTGGTTAAGTATTGGACTGGAGATACAAGTCTTCACACAGCTAGGTTTCATGCAATGTGCAAGTACCGTCTTAACGTTTCTAAATATATTTCATTTCCTTTCCTTTTGTTAGTGGTTATTCCACTGTTCCTCAACAGTTGTGGGCTATTTGCCCAAGCTCTTTAAAATTGGGACATTTTGGAAAAAGCAAAAGGAGAGAGAAAAATTTTAAAAGAAGCAAAAATGGACAAAAATGCCCTTATTTATTTTTAGATTTCCTAAGGAATCCAATACATTTGCATGTCTTTGATTTGAAAGTTGAGTGGTTTTTTTGTCTTTTTTGAAAAAGCTTTGGCTTTTTTCAAAAGTGAAATTTTTTTTATGTCTAAAACCTAAAAAACCTTTTAAATTTTTTTTTTCATATTTTATTTTATTTGTCTGTGGTCGATTATTGGTGTTTCAAGCCCAAGTGTGATCCTAAATAAACCCCATTAGGCCTAGTCTACGTATCCCTCTTGCTCTCGTAATTAGAACGCTTTTCCCTTGGTTTTTCTAATTTGGACGAAATGCTTTTCCCTTGGTTTGTTTCAAAACTTTCCTTTTCAACTCAGTCCAAGACATAAAAAGTAGTATCCTAATGGAGTGCCTTATCTAATAAGGGATGCCACCAACATCTGACATGTGGCTTGGCCTCTGGAACGATCGTAGGGTCTTTTCCACGAACAAGATAAATGTCCTCGACGTGTTGTCGTCTACCCTTGGTGTGGGGTGGGGTGTAAAAACCGCAATTCGTCAATGATCTGTGCCTGCAGTTGCACGATGTTGTTGAACACTACTTATTGTGGTGAGCTTTATGGACGTTATAAGGTATTAATTAAGGGTTGCCAGTTGTTCACGTATGCATAGACGAGCAATTGTGACATTACAATTCTCTTTCCTCAATGATCTTATCTGATATTAGTTTTATTATTAGGTTTAGAATAGATGGTCCTTTAGATGATGAGAGCGTTGACCCCCAAGTAAACGGTTTTGGCGCTTTTAGTTTGTAATGTTGTGACATTTTTATCTCAATAATTCACGCGACTAGAACTTCCAGAGGCTCCACTAAGTTCTCTGCGACAATCATGGCAAATAGACAAATCAGAAACAAGAAAGAAAAAGGAACATTTTCTTATTGGTGTATTTCTGCTGTTACACCTTAAATATGATACCTTCATTTCACAGTTTTTTTTTTTTTTTTTTGGGTTATATTGGGAGGAAAGAACTCTGGGGTTTCAATCCTGGGTGTCAAGCAGGGAGAAGGGGTAGGGCTACAACCACTGCGATCTTGGGTGTCAAGCAGGAAGAAGGGGAAGAGCCATAACCACTGTAATAACCCCACTCGACTAATTTAACAGATTTTCGATCAACCCAATGGCTTTGTTTTTCCAATTTAGGTACAAGTAATCGTCCGCTTTTCCAAATTTCTCAAGTTGAAATCTAAATTACATGATAACCGGTGCACGACAGTGGTGTATAATTTGAATTTGGTCGGCCAATTATTGGTGGGGTCTACCCTAACAGTATATTAAATTTTAATTGAAAATTGCAAGTACCTGAAAATCCATTGAGGTCTGAGTTTCCCCCATGCTTCTCTTTTTTTTTTTTTTAAAACAACAAGGCCTGTCTTTGACTCTGCCGACAACTACTTAGGAAACACAAGCCTGAAACATAGATGGTTTCAGATAGTTTTGATTATTGCATCAATTCCCATGGGAAAGATACATTGGCACAAAGATGGTTTCAGACAGTTTTGATTGTTGCATCATGGAGAGTCCAAAGAGAAAAGAAGACCCCAAAAAAAAAAAAAACTTGACACCCAAGGTCACGTTATGAGTTTGACATTTGACATATTTAAGTGGTTAGCGTTGATTTGGTCTTCCCGCGGAAACATTTATATATACAGCTTTCTCGTGCAGAGTTATTGTGCAAAAGGAGAGTGCAGCTTCTGTGAAGGAGCGAACAAATCAAGCCAAGGTTCATCTGTTCAAATACGTTAAAGATTAGAACATAGATAGATTCAGCGTCACCGTTGCCCTTATTGACTCTCTCTCCAACTCCCTCCTCTCTCCTCTCTTCTTTTCTGCTTAAATTCTAAGAGAGCTATGAGGGTCATTCTGCTGCTTCATTTTCTCCCCGGGGTACTAGTTGGTTGGTGTTCTTGGTATGCTCTGCATATCTGAAGCCTACACACTCAGAAATTTAAGCAAACCCAGATGAGCAAATCCCCCAATTGTGCAGATTGTTAGGGTTGTTGGGTCTGCAGATTATAATCATGTCTTGTTTAACGGCAAGAACAGGGAGGCAGAGGCAACGTTATGAGGGCCATTTGAGGCTTGTTTCAGGGTGAGCACTACTCTCAGCCTTGGTATTCTTTTTGGTACACTTTCCAATTTTTGCTTTCTTGATCATAATCTGCTTCCTTCCTTCTCTTTGGCCTGGATGAAGCAAGCCTGTCACTGTTAATATACTACTTTTGTTGTTAATGCTGTAAGAACATCATGTGTTAATTATGTCTCAAATGGTTTTAGTCCTTTCTGTGGAAAAGCTTTGCATAGCAGCTAGCATGTCCTAAACAGTTGCAATCTTTTGTGTGGAAAAACTTGCATAGGAGCTAGTATCAAGGCGATAAAAGCTTATCTTTGGGTCCCAATGTTTCCTTTTACAAGTTGCCTAACGTCCTTCGCTAGTGGCCAAGTGTGTGGCAGAATTGGGCCTAAGAATTGACTTGTGATAGCTCATGACTTATATTCCATTCACTTGTGTTCACACACCATATGCATTTTGGAAATTCCCCTTTTAGTCATTCCACAGTAATGTTTATCTATTGTGAGTTAGTAAGCATGCAAGGGCTAACCATCTATAGTTATTATATAATTAAGTCTTTAAACAAGAATATGACTCTTAATCGTTTAGATTATATTTGGATGGTTGGGATGCATCTCAGTTGTCGATATCTTACCTAACGGCCAAGAAACATGTCATCAGTTAAGAATCTTATCATGTGTGTATGAATGCATATGTCACTTTGCTATATTTACAAAAAAATTCATGGATTTGAAGCCTTGTGACATGGAACATCCAATTGAGTAATGAGTTGAACTTATCAGTTTTCGCTTCATATTGAGCTGACATTATAAAACAGAAAATCTCAACACATTTCTCTCATTCTAAATAATGCAGTAAGAAAAGTTGGATGCCATAGTAATTGATATTATTTGTATTTGCAGTCCGGGTTTGTATTGTACTCTTACTTGGATTTCTGTTGCTTGACTAGATGCCATTATTGCATATTAGGAAGAAAAATTATGCCTACAAACACGATAACCTTCAAGTGTGTGTTTAGTTTTCATGAATAATGCCGGAAAATGCTGCAAAATTTTGCTGACAATGTAACTGAGTTAGTATCCCCTTTTCATTTGTCCTGTTGCTTCGTTTTTTTTTTTTTTTTTTTGTGTGAATAAAAAACCTTGCAGAAGGTATTTGATGATAGGAGTTTCTTTTTGCTCCAATTGGTTTCAACATAATGAGAGGCATAAAATAACATCTGCTATGCGTTGGAATGGATACCTACATGTCATTGATTAGCAGCACAACTACTTAGCTAGACATAGTGTGAGAGTGATTCGAATCTAGAGATCAAACCCTTTTGATTGTGAAATGTAGGTAAATCATGGAATCTTCATAAAATACGGCTCATAGGTATAGCATACATCATAACTAGTGCATCTTTGTCTTGGTCCTATCCTTTATTTTCCGCTGGATATCCTATCCATGTGTGGGTGATGTTCTTCCCTCAGCACCTCTGAGGGTTTAGTGGGGACCTTCTCTTCATTCTGTATTTCCTTTTCAACTAGCTATATTCTCTCACAGTAGTTCTATCTGCTTGAATTGAAGCCTTCCTCTTATTGATTAGCCTGAGCATAAACTACCTAGCTAGGCAGAGTGTGAGTAATTGGACTCTTAATTTCAAGGTGGACTTTATTGTTTATGGAATGTAGGTAACTCATGGAAGCTTCATAATAGGGTAACTACGGTTTATTATGTATGACATGCCATCATAACTAGTTCATTCTTTGCGTTAGTCCTGTCCTTTTTTTGTGTGGATGATGTTCTTCCCTGAGCGTCCTTCCTTCCCTCCCTCCCTCTCTCTCTCTCTCTCTCTCTCTCTCTCTCTGTGTGAGGGTTTCGTGGGGACTTTCTTAGAACTCTGTATTTCCTTTTCAACCAGCTATATTCGCTCACTTAGCTGGAATGTATTGAGGGACTTTTGGCTTTGACTTACTCATTTGGTGTAAAAATAGGTGTATTCCTTATAAGTTTGAAAAGAGTGTTGGGGGTTGCAATCGCAGTATGGAGAAAGAATTGCTTGTTCTCATGATTTCTTCACCAAGTCGGGATGATCTTGTGTTTCCAAAGGTATCTATCTTCTTGTTTATTTGTAATGTACTTAAAGCTCTACTAAGATCAAATAGTGAGCCTAGAAACACCTTCTTTTGTGATCAGGGCGGATGGGAGGATGATGAAACGATGAGTGAAGCTGCCCGTCGTGAGGCCTGGGAGGAAGCAGGAGTGAAGGGAGTTCTTGGTGTAGGTTTCTCTGCCCTGCTTGGTAACAGGCATGGACACCTTTGCACTGTAATGTTTAATTGCAATAGAAATGTGTAACTGGACCTCTAGATGTAGGAATTTTCAACCACAAATATTCTCACATGTGACATATCGTTGCAATGGATTCTCACTTCATGAGTAAGCGGGGTTGATTGCATTTCCTTGGAAAGTCTCTTAAGTTTATATGCGGTTTCAATAGTTTTGGAATCTGTTTTCGTGGTTTTATCCCATTCTCATGGGTACATTTTCAATATGATCGCAATGTCTCATGCATAATACTGAGACAGAAGTATGCTTCTCTACATAAAAGATGATTACCTTAATGCCTACTCAAATAAACAAATACTATTTCATATTTGCTTCAGGAAACTCCACTGGGAGATTGGGAGTTCAGAAGCAAGAGCAAACAGAATAGCTGCAGCCAGCAAGGAGGTTGTAGAGGTTTCATGTTTGCAATGGAGGTGACTGAAGAGCTCGACTCCTGGCCTGAGCAGGCTAACTATGGAAGGAAATGGGTGAGTCCTATATTGATGTACATTTTAGGCCACCAGATGAAATTCTGGGAACCATCATAACCATCTTGAAAACTTTAAACAAGTTGAAAAATAGCATCTACTGTTTCTTTTTTATACTCTGTTAGAAACAAGCGCTAAAAACCTGTCAGTTTAGCTTACAAACTGTGTTCTTGACACCATTTATAAGTGAGGACTTGAAATAAAGAGTTAGCTGTGTACCATTTTCAGCTTACCAAAGAAGAAGCATTCAGAGTCTGTCGGTATGACTGGATGCGGGAAGCGCTTAAAAAATTTGTGACAGCTCTCTCAGAGAGCAGGGAAAATGACACAATAAAAGAACTGGAAGTTCCTTTGAGGCCAATCTCAGAAATTGAGCATCAAATGCCACCACAAGGCTGCTTTGGCAGTCATCCTAGCATCCAGCAGCTTGCAGCTCGAAAATCGATGCAGCAAATGCAAATGCATTGCACAGGGTTGCGAAAGAGTCACGTATAAACTTCGTGTACTGAAAGTTGCCAGTTTAGCAATTTTCTCTGGTCTTAAATTGCAGTATTATTTAGTAATTCTGTTTATTTTTTTAGTGAGTTTGTTTAGCTCTTCATCATTTGTACAAACTCTGTAATCAAAATCAAATCAAGATTTGATGCAATCAACTGTTCATTATAACCCTTGTTCATGATGTTAACATCTGTTTCAATTTTGCTGAAACAATCAATTACAAGAGATGCTGCTAATGCTTGCACAAAGACAGTTTTGTTGTCATCAGCAAGAAGAAAAATACCAAAGCAGAAAAGAGCCAAAAAAATCTCAAAGTCCGGGAATGATCTTCAAACACGACAAGAGAAATTCAAACCTCCACACGCTCCCTCGAAAACTTAAAAACCTTGCAAAATGAATTACAGCACAAAAACCATTCAACCCTTGAGAGAGAATGCTTTGTTTAATCTTCTGGCTTAGTTTAACTTTTAATTCCAAAGGCTGTGGGGTTTTGAACTTTGTACTTTTGCCCTTTCCGTATCTCAATATTCTGAGATGATTGACTATGTGAACTTGTGCATTGACAAAGATCTTTTTGCTTCACCATGGATGGTTTAGCTCAGAGAGCAAGCAGCTGCATTAAAATTAGGGTGAGATATTAAAGCATCAATTGGTGGGTCAGCCCGAACTGGATTAAAATTGAGTTCAAGCTAATTATTATGTGTCGCATTTATATAGATCAAACTTATAAGACATAATATCCTAACATTAAGTACATAAAATAGCGATCAAAACATTAGTCCAATTTAACTGAAATAAGTCGAGTCACCAAATGAGGTATAGATAGATAGAGGAGCAGAATATACATGAACAAATGGGAAAGGATCAACGAGGCCGTGTGTGCCCCTAAATGAAGTTTTGTCTAGAAATCTTTGAACTGCCACCTTTATCAAATTAACCCTTTGATTACACACTTTTGTTCCACGTAACACGGGGAGGGTTCCTTTGACTCTATGCCTTTCTTTCCAACACATCTTTTCACTCACTTAATTTGTTTTATTTGTGCCTTGAAATTGGAGATTCATGGGATTCACAAAACCCTCTTGCCCTTTATTTGAGTTTTTTTGACTTTTGACGCCTTTTCTTCTCCCACCAAACCACTGTTCACCTACTTAGTTCTTATCGTCATTCATCATGTCGAGAAAAATCAAACCGCGTTCTTTTTTCTTCTTCTCATTCTTCATTAATTTTTTGTTTATTTAATTTTTCTGACTAAGAAATCAATATATAATAGCCTTCTAACCATTATTATAACACTACTGACACTAAAATCTAGTTGGTTTTTTTCTTTCTTTTCTCACTCGAAAGTACTTGAAAGTGTATACAATCTACATATGCATGATGCCTGAAATTTCAGATTTTGTGTTCACGAAATAGTACGATATGCGAATCTTCGGATATTATTACGGTGCAGATATTATGTATTTTTTATTATATATATTTTTAATTTACGTCAACAATAACATGTAGACACCCGAATAAAAGAATTACTGTTAGTTTAGTTCTTTTTTGGTCGAACAGTACTGTTAGTTTACTAGAGCACAAAATAGCATGATGTCTGAACAGTCGTATAGAGGAGGCACATGGGTTGGCCATGCCACTAAAATGCTCCAAACTTTCTTCTTTTTCCTTTTCCCCAATCTATGGTTAAGAAAACGATGGCCTATTTTATTAATTTCAAACTATTTAGCATATGATTGCAGATACTCACTAGACTGTATAATTTTGAAATCACAAAACCATCGATTTCGAAATGAGAAGATTGCTTGCTCTCTCTCTTTCTCTCTCTCAGTGTTTTGTTTGTCTGAATTGTTTAATAAAAATTGAAAAGATGGTTCTCTTCTTCTGTCAGTGATGAGTCAAAGAGAGAGAGAGAGAGAGCATATCTCATAATCTCAGTCAAAATGCAGCATAAAAAACAATACCAAATTGTCTAAAAAGAATACCATTTTGATGCTCTATCTATATGTATATCATTGAATAATGTTAGTGAATCCGCAATAAAGCCTTGTTTGGCCAATTTTCTCATAGACCCACCTACCAAAATTCATCAGGTTTTCTGTCCAGGAATCACGAAGGGCCAATTTCTCTAGCTACTTGGTGCTGCTAGCTTTTTCCCTTTCCACTTTCTTGATGGTAGTTAATTAGTTATAATCTCATTTGCAATAGTAATTAATAATATTTATAAATTTATACACTCCACCTCATTTGCTTTGCTTCCATATGGATTAGAAAAAGCAAGACTAGAGATCATAGTAGCTAGCCATATATAATATACCTGAAAAAAGGTTCATCAAGTCAGATTATAAGCTCACTCGAAAGGCCATTTTGGGTGCCTTTAGACTAATTAGGCCATTGATCATATTTACATGTAACCCGAATCATAAACTGGGAAGACAAAGTTACAATGTTAATAATAATTAGCACATAAAGTAGAGATTAAAAGCCAAAGTGTTAACCCACCTTTTATATCAACTTGCATGCTTGTTGTCCCAAGTAAATATATATTAAAAATTATTTGTCTCTCATTTCAAGTAGATGCAAAATTTTGACCTGTAATTATGACCAAAACATTTTAACCTGACAATATTGTATACGACCTGTTAACACGATATAAATTTGCACAAAAAATTCAGTATTCCGGTACGGGTTATCGGGTCGTGTTAAAAACAGGTTGTCATTAACCAAATCCATCAACACATTGGGGATTAATGGCGTTTTTAGGGTTAAGTTGATAACAAATTTACAATTAGCACAGGTTACAAGAACTTGTTAAAGATAAATATATTTGGAAAGGAGATAAGACAGAAGACTAAGATGTGGATCTGAACTACCACCATCAATAATTTAGACTAAGCTGACTGATGTCTTCATTAAGGTATGACATCTTAGTACTTTTCTTTCTAGTTTTCGTTATCCACAAGCCAATAACATGGTCTTAAATTGGATTTCAAAGCACTAAAAATAGTAAAATATATATATCTAAAGCAAAATTACATCAACTGTGTACCGAAAGGCCAAGTAAATGGGGTCCATTTGGGTCAAGTCTCTCTTGATGGTTTTTTTTAATAATTCCGTAGGTCTTTTCTTTCCTAGTGATTGTTTTGTTCAAAAAGCAATGCCCTTTGTGTCCTCTCACATGCAACCCAACATGGCTTTCCCTCATTCGGAGGCCTATGTCAATCTGCGTGTTCATATTCATGAGCAACCAAGGAAGCTCCAAACCCAGAAATAAAAATAAAAGAGGAAAAGCCATTTCCATGGAATTAAACAAATTATAAAACGAAACCCTTTGGGTTGAAAAGTTGGGAAAGGAGGTGTGGAGCATCATGTCATTATATTAAGCTCAAATTGGATGCACGTGGCTGAGATAATTATATTCCCTATGTTGTTGCATGTACGTAAAAGTCTCCATATGCAATGTATAGGGTAACATGACCATTTTGCAATCCTTTCTCAATATTTATACATATCTATGTAAATACAATAATATTCTCTTATTTGTTCTGTAATATAGATTTCATACTGCCAATTTCGACCACACATCTAATGTATGTTAACGACGCATATGGATTAAAAACACGAGTAGAGCAATACATTGTTAACCCTATATACTTATGCATGCATATGTGTAATAACATGTCAAAAATTTGGTTGAAATGAATCAAGAAAAATCTTGGAGAGATGATCTAGTATGCTTGAAAAGAGAAAGGAGGTATTAAAATGGTGAAATAATTGCATTGGGATGATCAATGATGGGTACTGACAATTGAATGATCATGGGAATGATAATTAGATTTGTGATGTGTTATATATATTGAGCAATCATATGGTGCAGGTTAAGTCCTTTTTACAAAGCTTTTGGGGTTTTGGATAAAGCTCTTCCAAGGCGTGCATGCTCATAATACAAGACTGATTTGATAATTAGTACAAGTAGTCCATGATTAGTAGCTGATCATACATTCAATTCAATTCACTTCAAGTCAGACCCCTCTCTCTCTCTCCTTCCCAAAGCACATGCGAGCAAACTTTAGGTTAGATATGATAATCAGAACTTTAAAAGTACCATACAATATTTAATCCAATTGAATAAACCTGCTAATTATTAAGAACATAAACTTGCAACAAAGTTACATGAATCAGCGCACAGCAATAATAATAATGGGCATGAGTTGCTAATCATTCATGCATGCCAAATAAACAAAAAGATGTTTAAAAAATTGTGTTGGGATTTATTCAATCAACTGGAAAATCTAAGGCAATATTGACAAGAGGTTCTGCGGTGGTTTAATTTAATTAATTAGTTTTTTTGTGTGTTTAAATTATTAAATGATTAAGGAATTGATGAAGTTGCTGTCAGCAGCAGAGAAACAACAGCCATGGATGATTCGCTTGTGGCAAGAGTGTATGATGTCAGTCACAGAAAGATGGACCCAAATTCAGATGATTAACATGCGTGACTGTATGAGATTGCTCATCATTTGCCAATTTTATTTGGTTTAGGGGCAACTCTGTCAATTATAAAAACATTAATCTTAATTATTAATTATTAATTACACTATTAATCTCCCTTATTTAAACACCCAACATGCAACGGACGAAAACCAAACCAACCCAACAAGCCTACAATCATTCCCTTCTCAAAAATTCCACTTCTCTGACTGAGAAGTCACTGCCAATCTCTTTCTCCAAGCATTTTGAGTGTCTCTTTCTCTTTCTCTCTCTCCCTCTCCCTCTCAGAGGCATTAAAACAAACACCTTCCTTTCTTTTTCAGTTCCCGATTATACAGAAACTGAAACCAGCCATGGACTTCTTCAACAACTCGTCAAAAGCAAACACCTCCCCTTCTTCTTCATCAAAGACCAAAAGAAAGCAACAAAACCAGCAAACCCAACAACCTCAGCAGCAGCAGCAGCAGCAGGAGACGAGGTTTCTGGGAGTGAGAAGAAGGCCGTGGGGCAGATATGCGGCGGAGATAAGAGACCCTTCTACCAAAGAGAGGCATTGGCTCGGAACATTCGACACCGCCGAGGAGGCCGCCTTGGCCTACGACCGAGCTGCTCGCTCCATGCGCGGCTCCAAGGCTCGAACCAACTTCGTCTACTCGGACATGCCGCATGGCTCGTCTGTGACCTCCATTATCTCACCCGACGAATCACAGCGTGACATGTCAGCCTTCTTCGCTACCCCACTCCAGCCCCAACCCCAAACGACCAATCACCAGCAGTCGTTCTTTACTCAGGACCCATTTGACGCATACCCGTATTCTGGCGGGTTCGGAAGTGGGTCTTACGGGCCAGTTTCGGGTGGTGATGAACCCGGGTCTGGGTCTGGGTCTGGGTCTGGGTCTCAGTCTCACACTGAGCTACCACCTTTGCCTCCATGTGTTTCTTCCACTTGTTATGGGCCTGACGGAGTTATGGGCTCTGATATGGATATGGGCTATTTCGGATTTTCGGAGCCCACAACAAATAATGGGCTTGACCCAATGATGAATGGATCCTACATGGGCTTTGACTCGAACGAGTTTGTGCAGCACAGCCCACTGTTTGGGAGCATGCCACCTGTTTCGGATGCGGGTATAGATGGGTTTGATTTGGGTTCATCATCTGCCTATTTCTATTGACTTGTTTTTAGAAAACCTATCTAATCTTCAAGTGTGCTATTTTCATTTTTTCTACTTTTTTTTTGGGGGGTCAAGTTGTTTTTGTTTTGTGATGGGCAAAAGATAACGTTTGCCTTGATGATATTGTAATGGGTATGCTCTTTATATTGCAAGAAATTTGAGCTTCTCAGAGAGTGTAAATGTTGAATGTTCTCGTGCATGGTACATTAGTTCACACGCACATTGACCCAAAAAAGAAAAGAAAAGGAAAACCAATGAGGAACAAGTTAGTCGAGCAAATAAAAGTAAGAATGAGATTAGCGGTGGATTAACACGCCCAATATTAAAAGAAAACTAATGTCATAAGTGATATTACCCTTTTCTTTTCTTTGCTAATGCTTGCGAGTCCCCGAAGGTATATTAATTGGACAACAAACAAATAATCCACATAGTTTGACAAATAAATAAATAAATAAATAAATAATCCACATGAATTGATAGATGTGCTTCCGAAATCTTTCTGCATTTATCATAGGTGCATTTATACACATTTAAATGAATATTAACCACTTATTAATATGACGAATTTTAATTAGTACACATCAATATAATTCTATTAGTATGAAATTGTGTTGGCATTTCCTAGAACTTAGTATTAGTTTGGAAGTGTCATTTAGCTATAGGGTTTAATCAAAATTTATTTATCTGATTTCCAGAAACTGCAAGATTGAAACAGCTCAGCAATCCCCAAATTCTAGAATTGTGAATCCAACACGTATGAGACATTTGATCTGAAGGGTAAGACATCTCATTTTTCATGCACTCATAATAGGAACGTTTTTTGGAATCTAATATGATTTTATTTCCTCGATCTTCCTTGATTTTAATCAAATAGAATCCATTTAGAAGTGCATCTCATTTAGGCATATTTTGCAATATCTTTTCACTTATTCCCTTAGAGCAGTTCCATCGATTAGCCTGGACTGGGGCAAAAGGGGGCCCAAGAAGAAAAAGGCGTTCCAGCGGGCCTTTTTTGCTTGGGTTAGGTGTGGGCTCCACAAGCCTGATGTCAGCAACCAAAAAAAAAAAAATCTAAATTTTTTTTAAAAAAAAATACTAAAAATTTCAGAATTTTTAAAAAAATAAATACTTAGTCATATTTTTCACTTCCCACACCAAAACTCTATACAAATTCCTCTCCTAATATCTCATGTGAATAGTGATTGCCATGGCAATAGATGAAAACACCACAAACTTTTTGCAAGGGCTGCTACTATTCATGTGAATAATAATAGCCATTGCCTCCCCTGGCCCTTTGTTGTGGCAAATGGGTGGAAGTGCTCTTAGGGGAACAATGCCTTCGTTCACGTCAAAGACAAAATCTAAGCCGCTCTTCAGGTTTCTTTGAATCGCTTCCGTTCCTCATTCAATTGTTTCTGTTTGGTTGCTGAGAAAATGTTCGAACGAAGAGAAAGGGGAAACAAAAAGGTTTGAGTGTCTGGTGTTTTATTGTGTTATGAAATGTGCAGAAAGTCGAGAAGGGTGGAGATTCAGCAGACCAAAGCTTGATTGGTGGAGGAAGTTCCTAAGCTGCGCAAATTGGGTGAAAAAAGGTTTATCAAATCATATATTTTTAAATTTCTAATTTTTTTTTTAATAATTAAGTTGGATTTTAGAAAATATATCTGATGAGATATGATTTGGTGGCTATGGGTCACCAATTAGATATGAGAATTCAATTGTTTATCTGATAGCTGGCTTTCTGTCCAATATTTTCTTTGTTTTGGAAAAGTGGTGTGGATTGAGCATATGTACCTCTATGTCTATCTATGATGCACAAGATGGTCAAAACAAGAGTGTTTCTTGTAGTACTAAACTAGAAATAGGGGTAAAGTAGAAGAACTAGAATAGGTAGAACAATTGGCATTTCCTTATTCTTATACAATTTTAATTCTGAAATAGTTGACATCTGACAGTGTTTGTATAAAGCATGTATATGCTTATAGGTCTAGCAGCACCACATTGATTAATAGCACTAGAGATCCACAAAGTGAGTGATGAAAATGAGATATGGGAACAAAGTGAGTTAAAGTTTGGTTGACTCTTTAATATACCAAGCATTATGTGTTGTTTTTGTTTTTGTTTTAGGTATCTAATTTGATAGAGATACAAGCATATGCTAAAGTTGTTGTAGCGTGATGACTTGCAATTGATTGTACTATTAGCTCCCTTGGTTGGCCCATGACTATTCCCTAGTCTACCTAATGCAAGAAAAATATATGTATATAAAGAAAAATAAAAAAAATAAAAATGTATAACCTCTTTAGGCATATTTGATTCTCTAACGTTTGTATTTAACCTTTGAGGCATCTTTGAAGTATCTGGTATACCATTTTCATTTCAAAGATGACATGGTTAACTTCAATTGGTTGGATTTCAGTAATTGGAGGTGCGATTTGTGGCTTTTTTCATGATACTGGATATGTTCGTTCCTACATTGTAGATGATGAAACTGGGAGAGTAAGAAACGAGACTAAAATCGATGTTATATGTTTTTTTTTCAAGTTGCAGATGTTGACAAGAATCTAGTGTTGAAGAATACACGAGTCCCACATCGGAAACTTAACAAAATAGAAAGTCTCATATAATAAATGATTATACTCCTAATAACATCGAAACCTTTTGTATAAAACCCCACACCTCCTAAACAGGTGGTTAAGTTGGAGACAATATCGATGTTGCTAGTGGTGGGTCAAGGGTCAAGGGTCAAGGGTCCGTTCATCTGAAATCTTGACATGGTATCAGAGTGGGTCGGTTGACTGGGCCCGATTAAACCTAAATCAAACAAACTCAAATCCCCAAATTGAATCAAAATCAAACAAACCCCAAATTGAAAATTAAAAAAAGAAAAAAAAAAGCAACTGATGTGGAATTGATTGCACGTGTGACCCACTAAAAAGTGGTCCCACGTGAGGAGAAATGTTGAAGAATACACGAGTCCTACATCGGAAACTTAACAAAATAGAAAGTTCCATATAATAAATGGTTCCACTCCTAATAACATCGAAGCTTTTTGTATAAAAACCTCACACCTGCTAAACAGGTGATTAAGTTGAGGACAATATCGATGTTGCTAGTAATGGACCAAAGGTCCGTCCCTCTGAAATTTTGACATCTAGGAGACGAGGATGTTCCAAATTTCAAGCAGGCATTAAATTGGTGGAATCTTTGACGTTAAAATATGAAGACAAGCAACGGGTAGGATTTTCCTTTGCTTGACTTCATTAAGTGATTTGGATTCTGATCAGTTTGACTTAACATTTTGTTTTGAATGCAGCGGCTTTCAGCGTTGGAGTTCCTTAAGAGTCAAATTGCGAAGAAGCAAACCTAATTCAACATCTGGCTTCAGCTCTTCCCCAAAAAGAGTGATCTAGTTAAATAAATTAGCTTTGCTTCTATATCCAAATGAGCTTCTGCTAGGTGAGTAATAAGTCATGTTAGCAGTGTCAGTCTGAGGGAGATTCATTGGTGCAATGGCATTCATGGAGAACGAAATTGCTCTGTATTTCTTCTGCAATTGATTCATATAAAAGTGTCAGCCACTATATAATGCACATGGTCATTTTTTGACATCTTTTCTCATCCCCTACTCACTTCCTCTGCAATTGTTATAAATTTCCTCCCCGTTTTTCTGCGCGCGCGATACCGATAAGAACTACTTACTGGGAGTGTGGCACACCAAATTGGGGACAACAGATCTGCTCCCCAAAATTAGAGACCACTTGAAAAACAAAGATAGTTATACAAATATGGTACTATTTTTTCTGGGTGCAAGTTACATTTGCATATAAAGTTTTAGGTCGCTATCTCGAACCCAGCAAATTACCCTTTTAAGCCCACCATTAGGAGCTAAACAATGTCGTTTCATTGAGGGAACAAAGTAGTAGGAGCTAACTGGTAATTTGCTGAGCCCAAAAATAGAATCCTGCAAGTTTTAATAATGGCCGGCCAATTTGTCACGCAAAGGCAGCTTGGCGGAAGATGTCACATCAGTCTTTGACATTGTTGTCTTGTTAGCTGTTGTTGGCACTGGAGAGACGCAAACACGGCTTGGAAGAAAGACTAGGGCAGTCAGCGGCCACAGTTTAAATACTGAAATTGATTTGAACCATCAATTTATACGTCACATGGAATTTGGAATTGGTCTTTGCTTTTAGGCAATGAAACTTCTACGTAAATTAATGACTATGTCAGTATTTATTAGATAAATAATTTTACACGCGCTTTTAATTCTAATATTGGTATCTTTTTGTCTTTAGCTGTGGATCAATTCAATCCTAGCAAGTTGCATGATGCATCGTTAGTTCGAATTTGTCCGTACTAAAAAAAAACAAAAACACGATCTGATGAATTGTGATTAATTTTTATTCTGATAGAAGATGATGAATCTGTCACTCTTAATGTTAAAATTTCTTTTTGGCGTTTTCGTTGCGATGAGCTTTTTAGGTTTGTTTTTACCTTTCTATTTTTTGGTGCGTAACTTGTGTGTTGAATTATTCACGTATCAGTAAAACTAAAATCAAATATACAACTTTACCAACAGCAGCAAATGTTTTCTCAGACAGTGACCACCAGCGTGAGAAAAATTCAACTTTGACCCCAACGCATACATATACAAGGACATGAGGACTTTCTCTGTCTTTCAGTTTGACTTTTCCACCTACATTTGAGTTTCTTCATTTTCCTCAAGTCTTCTTGCCTTGTGCAAAAACCTCTGCTCTTTTTTACACAATTCCTCCATGGACGGTGGAACTTAGAGTTCAGATTAGTCATCTTCCATGTCCCTTTCCAGAGTGCCAGTACCTCAAACAGAGACTTCAAGGCTACAACTAAGAGTGAAGCTGAAATATTTTCTGCGGTCAGCCAATGAGGTCAGGAATTCACTTCTTCTAACTCTTTCTCTCTCGTAATTTTGTTCCCTTGTGTTCTCGGCTTTGTCCTTTGAGTGTATCTCTCTCCTCCTGAAGGTTTCCAATTTGCATCAAATACATTTTGAATTCTAATATATATGCAAGATATATGAT